CCCGTGTCGGATCTCTTCCTCCATCACAAAATGATCAACCAATTGACGCAAGAAGGTTCTGCGGTTTTTTTACTCCGTAACCATTTTCTGTGTATATAACTTGACCATTTATACCGGCTACGTTGAGTAGGACAGAAAATGAGATAAAATATATATATTTAATTCATAAAAGTATTATATCCATAATACTTGCGTCAATGGTCGCGCTGCACCAGAGGGGTGATTTGAGCGGTTCCAACTCTCCATCGACATGTTCTAAGGTCGGTTTTACACGGACATTTGAGTAATCCAAAGATAGGAAGATAACATTAGGCTCGACCCCCGGAAAAATCTATTGACGGCAAAGGAGGTGGAAGTGCAGTAGGGATGCACCTGTGAGGTGCGCGCGACTAACGGAAGGTTAAAAAGAAAAAGAGAAGAAAGAAATTGAAGAAAAAACACTATTACATAACTAAAAAATCATTCTATAAAAAATATAACACTAATGTATTCTGATTATAATTACAAATAACAAAAAAAAAAAAGTTGAAATTCAGTGAATTATAGTTAAGTAATAAATAGTCTTTTTTATCTTTTTTTAAACGAGCATGATAGTATATTTTGTTTATATTTTCATGTTTAAGTTAAATGAGAACTTAAATTTATTATAAATAAAAAAAAATTTAGTTAATTACAACAAATTTGTTACAACTTTTTTTTGAAAAAAAAATAATCCTAATATTTTAATAAAATATGAAATATTGATTAATTTTTTTTGTTTTTTTAAATTTTAATTTTTTAAAAAAATTATTTAAATTCAAAAATAACTTATAAACTGAGTTAAATATACTAAATAGTTACCAACTTGCAAAATAATTGATAAAATTCAAACTCCTCAGCTGGGATACAAACCCCCAACCTCTCTTGTATAACTAACATTTACACTACAAACCATAATAAGCTAAAAAGTTTGTTAGTTTAAGAGTAACTGAAACTATAATGGGGCATATTTTAGCCTAGGGACAGAGCTGGCAGCTAACTTTTACCCTGTCTTAAGGTTTTCAGCTACGCTCTTTAAATGTTTAACATGATAACAAATGCGAGGCGACTAAAGTGCTCCCTTTCATTGCTCATCAGCGCATTTTTTTAAAAAATTTTTTTAGGCTTGTCAGTTTCTATTATTGGTTTGGAAAAAGCTTTGCATCAGTACACGTTAGAACCTTCAGAATTGCCCTTCGATATCAAAACTGTGCCTGTGGCTACTCAACCTTTGATAGAAGATAAGAAAGCTGGTAAGTTTCTTTTAACTAGAATTAAAATATATGTAAAGTATGATTATTTGATATTGTTGATTTGTTATTTTCAGATGTTCCAATCATTGGGAAGTCCAAAGATAAAGTTGCTGCTTCACGTCAAGATATATTCGCAGGTGATATATTTATCCTTTTCTTTATTTAGTTAACAATGCTTTTTGAAACTCATGCGCCAAGAAAAATAAAGCCACAGTATAAGTGCCTTAAATTTAAAAAAACTATAATTTTAAACTGCATGTGAAACATTTTCTGGTTAGTGCGACATGTGTGCCCTTCTCCTTTATTGAATTATTATTTCTATTGCAAGCAATGCTAAAAAAGTCTGTTAATTTGTTTTTCAATAACAATTATTAATTCTGCATACAACCTGATGTTCATTTTGGCAGCCTACTGTTTTGTAGGAAAGTAGCTGTCTAGTTTGTTTTCCAGATAAAAAGATGTATTTTTCTAGGACACATGCATAGTTTCTAAGCTCAATTGAAAGCATATGTCGGTGCACTGGTATAGCAGCTTTCATCTTGACGGAAAGGGGCCAACCTGAGAAGATGCACGCCGTGTAACGATATAAGGATTCAACTTACGATGATATTATGCTACCATTTCATTTCTCTTAGTTATGATGATGTCCGTTTCATTAGGTGTTGAATAGCTTTATATAAATTAGGTTGAATACTTTTACTTAGTACACAATGACATGCTTTTACTTAGAAATAGCGATATTGTGTCTGCCTGGAAGTACGGTGATCGGTGTCTGAATTGTAGAAATGCTCTCTGATTTGATTATAATAGCTATATTGTGAATCTTTAATTGTTGTATCTTTAATCTCATTAGTAATTATACACTTAAAAATTGAGGATGCTCCAGTTAGTTAGTTTCTTAGGTTTTCCTTTACGAAATTGAATATATATATATTATTACAACTTTAAAAAATAAGGGCACATTAATGTTCAAAGCTGATTTTTGCGGAAGCTTTTATTTTTTGTGAAGCTAAGCAAGTGCTCTTCAAGACAACAGTTAACATAAAATCGTCTCTGATATTTTTAATTTGATATTTTCAGATCAATTGTCAGCTGTTCCGGAACTCTCTTCATTGAACTTGGGTCCATTGTTTAAATCTTCTCTTCCTATTGAACTTACTGAATCTGAGACTGAGTTTGTTGTTAGATGCATTAAACACACATTCACTAGCCACATTGTGTTGCAGGTAAGAAAAATAACCCAAATTCTTTTTTGTAGTTGAACCTCAATCACAATTTCTCCTGGGGACCATTCACTGCAAACAGCAGAAAGTTTGTATTGAATAC